TAAAATAAATAAATTAATTAAAGAAATGTTATACATACAAATGGAATATTATTCAGCTATGGAAAGGAGGATATCCTGCCATTTGCAACAACATTATGAGGACATTATGCTAAGTGAGATAAGTCAGGCAGAGAAAGACAAATGCTGTATCATAGCACTTATGTGTGGAGTCTTTAAAAAAAAAAATCAAACCTGTAAAAAAGAGAGACAGAGACAGAGAGAGAAAATAAAATGGTGGTTATCAGAGGATGTAGAGGGTGGAGGTTGGGGGGATAAAATTGACAGTGTTTAAGGATATAGATTTGAAATAAGCACCAAATAAGCCACAGAGTTCTAATATGTTTTCAGTTTAACATAAATATTAATATTATACTGTAAGTATGTAATGTGATAAATATCATTATAAGGAAAACCACAGTACAGTGTATAAATATATTAAAGCAACATGATGTATACCTTATATATATATATATATATAAAAAAACCCCTTGGACAGACATGGGTTTAACTTTTTAAGAAACTGCTAAAGCTTTCCAAAGTGTGTGTATCATTCTGTACTTCCACTAGTAATTGATGAGACACTTTGCTCCACATCTTCTCAAACAGTCGGTGTTGTCAGTCTTTTAGTTGTTTTAATGAGGTGTTTTGTTTTGGTTTTAATTTGTGTTTCACTAACGGCATATAATATTGAGGAGTTTCTCTCTTTTTTTAAAATTTTTTTTTTAAGATTTTATTTCTTAGAGCAGTTTAAGTTTCCAGTAAAATTGAGGGGAAGGTATGGAAATTTCTCACATACCTCTTCCTCCTGCACATGCATAGCTGCCTTATACCACTCCCTCACCACAGCGGACGTCTTTGACAGCTGATGAAACTATGTTGACACATGAAAATGATCAGAATTGTCCACAGTCCATAGTTTAGAGTACATTCTATGGGTTTGGACAAATATATAATGACATGTATTCATCATTACAGTGTCGTATGGAGTAGTTTCACTGCCCTAAAATTTTCTGAACACCACCTGTTTATTCCTCTCCCCGCCCCAAACCTGGGCAACCCCTGGTGCCTTCCCTGTCTCCATGGCTCCGCCGGGTCCAGAGGTCAGAGAGGTGGCACCATGTGGATGCAGCCTTCTCAGATGGGCTCCTTCCACTTCGTCACATGCATTTCAGCTTCCTCCACGTCTTCTCGTGGCCTGATAGCTCATTTCCTTGTAGTTCTGAGAAACATTCTGCTGTCTGGATGGACCACCGTTATTTACCCATCACCTACTGAAGAACATCTTGGTTGCCTATAAGTTGTGGCAAAGATGAATGAAGCTGTTATAAGCATTCATGTGCAGGTTTTTATATGTCTTCCAAAGTGGCTATACATGTTACAGTCCCACCAGCAGTGAATGAGCTTCTGTTACTCCATATACTTGCTAGCATTGGTGTCAGTGTTTTAGATTTTGGCCATTCTGATAGGTGTGACATGGTATCTCATTGTTGTTTTCAATTTGCACTTCCTTGATGACATATGATATAGAGCATTTTAAAAAATATGTTTTTATTGATTTTTTAGAGAGAGAAGAAGGGAGAGAGAGAGAGAGATAGAAACATCGATGTGAGAAAGATACATCAGTCAACTGGCTATCTCCTGCACACTCCCTAATGGGGATCAAGCCCGAAACCCAGACATGTGCCCTGACCAGGAATTGAACCAGGACCTCTCAGTCCATGCGAAGACTGCTCAATCAACTGAGCCACACCAGCCAGGCTATAGAGCATTTTTATATACTTATTTGTCATCTGTATACCTTCTGTGGTTGAGATGTCTCTAAAGGACTGTAGTCCATTTTTAAAAAATGTTTCCTGTGCTTTTTAACTACATGTATTCCCCCCAGATTTAATAGATATAATTGACATATAATATTGTATAAGTTTAAGGTATACAATGTAATGATTTGATATATGTATATATTCCAAAATGATTACCAAAATAAATTTAGTTAACACATACATTACCTCACAGTTACAATTTTTTGTGCGTGATGAGATCTTTTAGATATACTCTCTTAGCAACTTTTAAATATACAATACAGCATTATTAACTATAATCACCAGAATTTATTAATCTTATAACAGCAAGTTAGCACTTTTTGACCACTTTCACCCATCTTCCCCACCCCTGGCAACCACCAATCTATATTCTGTTTCTTTGAATTCGGTCTTTTAGATTATTCATATAAATGATATCACACGGTATTTGTTTTTGTTTGACTTATTTCATTTAGCATAATGCCCTCAAGGGTTACACATGTTGAAAATGGCAGGATTTCTCTTTATGACTGAATAATATTTTACTGAATAATAATTATACACCCCCCCCCACACACACACACACACATGCACACATTTTCTGTATCTATTCATCTGTTGATAGACAAACAGGTTGTTTCAGTCTTGGCTAATGTAAACTGATGTAAATAATGCTGTTGTGAACATGGCAGTCAGAGCAGATATCTTTCTGAGATAAAACTTTTTCCCTCAGATATATATCTGCAAATGGATTTGCTGCATTATTGCTGGATCTATTCTTAATTTTTTGAGGAATCTCCATACTATATTCCATAGTAGCTGAATGAATTTGCTTCCCTATTCCATAGTAGCTGAATGAATTTGCTTCCCTATTCCATAGTAGCTGAATGAATTTGCTTCCCTCATAGGTCAGGTCATGAAACAGTCTCCATGGCCAGTCAGGCTCACTGGCTATAGATCCAAAGCAAGGTGAACTGCCCACTGAACTCCCCAGCCAGATGGGGCCACCCACTCAGCTCAGCCCAGTTCTGGGGTTTTCATAATGGTGTCTTGTCTATAGATTGTTGTTGGTCTTATCTTGTGAGGGGTAATGGTGTGTGTGTGTGTGTGTATATATATATATTTATTTAATTAAAGGTTTGTTCAAGTTTATTTCTTATTTTTAAAAGTTTGGGTTCTCTCTTTATTATTGGCTTATAGAAATGCTTTATATATTCTGAACAAGGCTTTTGTTAGATATAGGCGTTGGGAGTGTTTTCTCTCCTGTGGCTTTCCTTTTACTTTCTGACGGTAGTTTTTGATGAGCAGACATTTCAGATTTGGATGAAGCCCTGTTTGTGCTTTTCTTCTCTACCTTAAGCAATCTCTGCCTAGGTCACAAAGATATTCTCCTGTCTTTTTCCTGGTAGTTTATTAGTTTAGCTTTTATGTTTAGGCCCAGGAGCTCTTCTTCCTCCATCCTTTGAAATTCTAATCTAATGCCTGTTTGTGGAAGTTCTAAACCTTTACTTTTTTCCATAAAAATGGTAAGCATATCTCTATTTTGTTTGTTAGTTCATTAGATTGGACATGTAAGTAAGATGGTATTGTCTTTCTCTGACTGGCTTATTTTACTCAGCATAATGCTCTCCAGGTCCCTCCATGCTGTTGCTAAGGGTGAAAGTTCCTTCTGTCTTACAGGGGCATAGTGTTCCCTTGTGTACATGTACCACAGCGTTTTTATTCATTCATCCACCAATGGGCACTTGGGCTGTTTCCAAATGTTGGCTATTGTAAGTAACACTGCATTGAATTTAGGGATACATATGTTCTTTCAAATTAGTGTTTCAGGTTTCTTTAAATAAATTCCCAGAAGTGGAATCACTGGGTCATAAGGCAGTTCCATTTTCAATTTTTTGAGGTAACTCCATACTGCTTTCCACAGTGGTCTTACAGCAGGCTGACAGCTATTGGGGAGGAGGTGGTGGAGGTGGTAGTAGAGGGATTGAGCAGTAAAAAAAAAAGAAAAAAACTCATGGACATGAATAACAACAGTGTGGGGCTTGCTGGGTTGGGGTAGTGTGGGGGAGGTGGAGGAGGGTATAGGAGGGGCAAATGGTGATGGGCGGAGACTTGACTTGGAGTGGTGAGCACACAGTGCAGTCAGTGTACAGATGATGTGTTGTGGAATTGTGCACCTGAAACCTGTATAATTTTGTTAACCAGTGTCACCCCAATAAATTCAATAAAAAGGGGAAAAGAGAAAGAAAATGGTAAACAGAGTTATTTTAAACTTTGCTCCTGATAATTTTGGCCCTGATGCAGAAAAATTGCTTGTAGGAATACTTGACACCAGGATGATATTTTTCCCAGAGCGCATTTATTTTTTTATGCCAGGCACTTACCTGTGGGCATCTGTGATCTGGGATCACCTTCATCTGGTGTCAAGGATTGAAATTACTTGAAATTGGGCTGCAGTCCCTGTGAAGGCCAATCTCCTTCACATTCATTCTTATTTATATGATATGCCTCCCCTCTAGGTCCTGAATTTCAGCTCTTCTTGGTAACCCCAAGAATTTAAGTGTTCAAGGTCACACAGTTAGTGGTGGAGTTGGGAAGTCAATTTAGACATCTGTCCTCTTATTCTGGGTTATAATGATCTACCATGCCGCTTACATGCACTGTGAGGGAAGGGTTTTATTTGTTTTCTTTCCCACTGTGCACCCACGCTCAACATGGCATATAGTAGATATTCAGAAAATGTTCATTAAATATAAGAATGAATCTGCCCCCATTAGTAATGTTGTTATTGCCAATCTCACAAATTACTGAGTGGCATGTTGGATTTATAGGTGTGATGTGATTTTTTTTTTTTTTTTTGCCTCCTTATGTTGATGATTTATTTGTTTTGTATTATTTCTGAATTAGTATTTTGATAAAAATTGGAAAAGCTACTGGTCCATTTTTACCTGGAAACTTGAATCAATAACTCAATGATCATTGTTTGTGCTTGAAGTTTTGTATGTATTAGAAACTCAATAGAAGCTGAATAAATTAAAAATGTAGGGATAAACAACTTCTCAAATATTTCAAATGCTTTTTGTTTCTGTTGTCATCCTTTAAGCTTGATGAGAAAATTAAGTATTTTGAATTTAAGTAATTGTCTAAAATTTACATTTTTAAAGATAATCTTAATTTTAAAAAAATGTATTTTCTCTGTAGAGTTGAAGAATGAATTTGTTGGCATTGAATAAATTTATGGTTCTTCTGTGGAAGAATTTCACTTTAAAGGTAAGTTGAGCTACTTATAGGATTATTGTAACATCTAAGAGACCATAATAGGAAAATTCTGACAGCCATTTCACTGCATTTTAGTTCATACTGTTGTAGTTTCTCAGTTCTAGAGCTGGGGTTATCTCTTTCACATATTTAGAATACTCATAGAGTGAAGTAAAAGCAGAATGATTCATAGAAAGGAGGAAAAAAGGCAGCCCTGGAAACTGCTGCTAGCATATACTGAACTGTCTTCTGGCCACTTATATATCTTCTATGAAGTGCCTGTTAATATAAAATAATTAGCTATTTGCAAAGTGAATATACCCTTTGGATAATTAATGGTCTTTTTTTTTTCATCTCCTAGAGACGGCAGTTCATTGCTATAGTTGTGGAAATCATCGTGACATTACTGTTTGCTGGCATACTTTTGTTAACACGCAAGATTGGGGTTATAAGTCAGAATGGGCCTTACTATTACCCTTTTCAGCCTGTTGATAAGTTGCCTGTATTCCTCGGAAAGAACCCTCCTTCTGGTCTGTGGGAATTGGCTTTCGTGCCTTCCAAAAGTGTTGTGGTGAAGAATATTGTTGAAACTGTGAAAAGGGATTTACACTACAATTTTGAAGGTTAGAAATGAAGTTTTTCTAAAAAAAAAAAAATAATAATGCATTATTAAATTGTTGTAGTAAAGACACACACTTAAGCCTTTCACTGGGTGTAACCTTCCAAGGAAAATATTGCAGGATATCCTCATAACCAGGTAGTTACCTCCCAGGTATAATATTATAGGCTTGGTTAAACTTGAGAGTTAAATTCACATAAAAATATTTTCTCCTAGATCCCAAAGCAAATAGTAGTATTTTAAAATTAGACAGTCAATTTACATTATTCTAGATTCTTGTCCAATCCTGTGATCCCAAGTATAACTCCAGGGCTGCGTGATGGTGTGCCAAAGGCCCCAAGGCACAGCACAAGCATGAGCCCTCATTCGGATGCATAGGCAGCTATTTCAGACATTGCTGATATAAAGCGTTGCCTGAGTCACACGGCAATGCTGTATAGGAGACTCAGGCTACTTAGATTATTACAAAGTTCCCCATTTTTTACTTACCTTCAAATTCTCAACTCAGTTTTTCTCCTTTGTCTTCCAGAGATAAAAATTGTTAGAAGTTTGGTGGGCATCTGTCCAGTGCCCTGTCCCTTTACACACATATATTTATTTAGTAGTGTATTTTTTCAATCTTTCTTGTTTTTCAAGGGATTTGAGAGTCCTTGAGAATATATGATATCTAAAAACATTTTTTATTAATAACACTGAAGCAGAAGAATGCACAATTCCAATAATTTTTGAAGTATACAATAGAAATATTCTAATAAATATAGTGCCTTACAGGCTACTTTTGTGTTACCCAAAATATTTTGTAATTTCCACTCTGATTTCTTCTTTGATGCATGGGATTTTTAGAATTGTGTTATTTAACTTGCAACATTTGGGATTTGTTGTTATTTTTCTGTTGTTGATTTCTATTTTAATTTCCTTGAATCAGAGTGTATATTCTATAATGTCTGTTGTTTGAAATTTTGAGAATTTTTTTCTGGCTAGTTTATAGTGTATTTTGATAAATGTTCGATGTGCATTTGTAAAGACTCTGTTCTGTAGCATTTGCTTGTGGTGTTGTGTAAAGGTCACCGAGGTCAATTTGGTCAATCATGCTTTTCAAATCTCCTGTGTTCTTAGTATTTTTTATCTACTTATTCTATTAGTTGTTGAGGAAGGAATTAAAATTCCAGCTAGGTGTTATTAATGTTATAAAGCTATACATATTAAAATAATATTAAAATTTTCTCTTTCAGTGAGGAAGCTCTGTTCAGTTTCTCTTTACTCCTGAGGGTTACTTCTAGTGCTAGGGTGTGCTCATTACTCCTAGGGCATGGCCCTTTTAGGGTGTGGATGGGAAGTCTGCAGTTTCTTTGCAGGCCCCTCCATGGTGGGGCTTGAACTCCATCCCATCTCCCCTGCATTGCCTAGCTGCTGGTCACTTCTCCGCACTGTCTCCTGCCACCTGCTGGCATCTCGGCACCTTCTCCCGGGCCATTCCAGTGTAGGAGTTGGCCAGTGACTTCAGGGGAATATATGTGCTGCATTTTTACCTCACTTCTCTGCTGTTCTCTTCTCTTCGGAGTTTTGCCTCCTAAGTCCAGCCATTTTGGCAGCCTAAACTCTCACCTCTTTCTCTTCAGTTCGGTAAGTCAGCAACTCTTTGCAAATGCTTTCAGGGACAGTACCAGGGTGAAAGTAGAATCCACCTTGTGCATTCCAAGCAGTTTTAAAGATTTTGTCCAACTTTTATGCAGTGGGAAAGTTTAATCTTGTGTAAGCCCTTCTATCACAGCAAGGACTGGAAGTCCTTGTGTGAGAATTTTTAAATTTTCTGCCGGTTATTTCCAAGTTTTTTACATTATAGTTAGAGAATACAGTCTTTAGGATGTTGGTTCCTCAGAATTTAATACATGATTAACTTTTATAAAAATTCCTTCTGTGCTGTGCTATATATTCTGCATGGTCTGGACTAGACCCCTTTTAGGTATTTATCAAACTTTCTTGGCCACACCTGCTGTCTGGGCCTCAGCTCACGTCCATTGGAAAGTTTTGCCACCACTGCCCTCACCTGATCTTAAACAACACAAGCTCTCTGAGTGTCCCTGAGACCCAAAGAATCTGCCATTTCCAGTGTAACAGGAACCGTAGCAGCTCTAATGGCCAAGTCTGACCTTTCCTGACATATTGAGATTTTTTTTATCCTCACCCGAGAACATTCTTGCATTTATTCTCAGATAGAGCAGGAGGGAGAGAGGAAGGAAGAAAGAGAGAGAAACATCGATGTGAGAGAGACACATTGAGTGGTTGCCATCCATACGACCCCAACCAGGACCCTGGACAAACTGCAACTGAGGTACGTGCCCTTAGCAGGAACCGAACCCGGGATTCTCTGGTCCACAGGCTGACCCTCTAACCGCTGAGCCAAACTGGCCAGGGCTTGACATATTGAGATTTTCATTTCCTCTGTGGCTCCTGGGAGGGGCCAGGGAAGAAAATCCAGAATTCAGGGGAGATAACATTTAATGAGTGAAAGACAGAGATGAAGAGGTAACACAAACACTGTTTTAAGATGCAGTGGCCCCCAAAACAGTGTCTGAGAGACTGCTTGTTAAATTTCTTGTAATGCCAGTTCCAGCTTCAGAATGTGCTGCCTTGTTCTGCGTTTCCTCTCGTGCCTCACTCTCCCCGTATCAGGATTAGGGCTGGGCAAGCAGGGCAGCTCAGTACAAATGTTACCCTTGCACAGCCGTAGAAGTGAATGCCTCGGGTGCTTCACCCACCTCATCCTAGTCCTGGCATTGCTCTTTCCTTCCCTCACCTGTGATGCCCTGGGATCCTTACCACTTAGGAAGACACTGACATGTAAGTTTCCCTCTGGGACAAGTGACATCAGTAAGACAGTAGAATAGGAGGTTCCCTGCTCAGTGGTCATAATTTGCTAGCCATCCATGGACAAAAGTACCTTTCTGGGAATGTTGAGACCCACAGAGGAACGACAACACCCTGGTGGAGCTCAAGACTGAGATGGCAGGCCCATATGATGTCAGGCTCCCTTATCATGATCCCAGCCACACATCTGGAAATGGCCTCCTCCCCATGTGGACTCAGTTATAGCCCTTTTTGGCCTTGGTCCTGCTATCAGCACTGTCGGCCAAGGAACTGGGAGGTATCACACCCACCCGAGCCTCAGGTAATAGGCCCACTGACCTTGATTCTGGCTCTAGACTCTTTAGCAACCTGGCTCTGGTTCCTCTCAGCTGTGGACAGGCAGTAATCCTGTCCACCCAGGGACCCATTTGGAGACATGTCTGCCTGTGCACCTAGACACAGGCTTCCTGACCTCAGTCTGACTTCAGATCTTAAAGTGGCCCTGAAGCCTGGCTCTAGCCCACCTTAGCCATGGGTCAGGAGCACTCAGGGACCCATCTAGTGACCCAGTGGGAGCTTTCCCAGGGGCCCAGCAGGAGCCACTCTTGTCCAGATACCCGATAAGAGCATTCCATTGAGCATTATTACAGTGGCTAAAACCTCCCTACATTTTGTCTTCTTTTTTTGATTAATCCTCATCTAAGGGTATTTTTCCATAGATTTTAGAGAGAGTGGAAGGGAGGGAAGGGGACAGAGAGAGAGAAAGAGACATCAGTGTGAGAGAGACACACATCAATTGGTTGTCTCCCGCACACGCCCTGACTAGGGTGGAGATGGAACCTGCAACCCAGGTATGTGCCCTTGACCAGAAATCGAACCATGACCCTTCAGTGCATGGGCCAATGCTCTAACCACTGAGAAACATCAACCAGAGCTGTCCTCCCTTTTAAACAACTAATTAGGCATCCATTTATGGACAACATGCATCTTTGGGTGTTTTGGGATCCAGCAATATATGCCGAAGGACTTCGTAGGGGTGTTGCCCACATGTGCATCTGGTAATAGGCCAACTGATCTCAGTATGGCTGTGGAACCATCAAAGACAGCAGATTTGCTCCAAACCCTGGCTATGGTTGAGGGAAAAGTCAGAATGCTAACTTGGGTAAATACTCACAGACATGAGGGAATATGTAAAGTACAACCCAGCAGGGGAGATTCCAGCATGTCATTGGAGAAACAAGCAAACAAACTTAAAAAAACAAAACAAAAACAACACGAATTCAGATGCAACAGAAAGGGTAAAATAAACTTTGCCAGTGCCACCCATTCCCCAAGGTGGCACAGTAGGAAACCCCCTCTCCAGCAGCACCTGAGCACCGATGGGGACTGCTATGACCGGGAAAGGAGATGAGGAAAGAGGTCAGTAAGACTGTTGAAGGGTGTGAGAGGACACGGTGTCTGCTGACTGCGTTCAGGACCTCAGCAGGAATTCTGCCCACTAGCCTCTGGGAAAGCCTTGGCCAGGGGTCTCTCCACTTGGTTGGATGGCACCTCAGTGCTGCCCGTGCTCCGGATGTGCTCAAGTGTGGCAGTGAGATGAGTGTGGTCAAAGGAGGGCTGTTAGAAGGCAACACAGGCCCTGTTGGCAGGGGAGAAACCCCCAACTCAGCTGTTATGTTACTTTTTGGAAAATGAGATGTTTCCAGCAGCCTTTCGATGAGTTGTAAGAACCAGAGAGAACATAAGAGCTTTAAAAATTCTGCCACAGGCAAGAGCAAGAAATGCTAAGGAGGTATATTCATACCAAGTCAGAGAGAACCCCAGATACAGCAAGATAACCCATCAGAAAGCAATTAGTGAAGACCTGAGGTGTCTGTTACTTCAAATGAGAAAGCAGCAATGCAAAACTAGAAGGAACATGGAGAATAAAAAAATGTCATCAAAGAAGAAACAGTCTTTCAATATTTGAGTTCAAAAGTATGGTATCTTATGATACAGCAGATAAATTATTCAAAATAGCTGTTTTAAGGAACTAAATGAGCTCAAAGAAAACAGACTATTCAATGAAATCAGGAAAAATATGTGAACAAAATGAGATATTTAGCAAAGACATAGAAATCATATAAAAGAACCAAACAGAAATTCTGGAGCTGTACTCAATGAAATGTAAAATGCAATAGAAACTTCTGCATTGAGGTAGATCAAATGGAAGATGAACAAACAAGCTGGGGGACAGGAATTTTGAAATAGCCCAATTGGAGATGAACAGAAAAAAATGAAAAAGAATGAAAGTACAAGTATTACACTAATTACCATTCCAGAAAGAGAAGAGAGGGAGAAGGGAGGAGAAGTTTGTTTAAAGAAATAATAGCTGATATGTGTGTGGGGGGTGGGGGGGGAGGGAAGGAAGTCAAAAGGTACAAACCTCCAGTTAAAATTAGTAAGTCCTGGCCATGTAATGCATACTATAGTTCTATAGTTAATAATACTGTATTATATATTTGAAAGTCGATAACACTAAATCATAAAATTCTCATCACAAGACATTTTTTTTGTAACTAAGGTGACAGGTGTTAACTAGACTTATTGAGGTATATACAAATATTGAATCATGTTGTATACTTGAAACTAATAAATGTTATGTCATTATATCTCAATTTAAAAAAAAAGAAATAATAGCTGAGAATTACTTAACCTGGGGAGAGACTTGGACATCCAAGTTTATGAAGCTAATAGATCATTCTACTATCTCAATGTAAAAAAATAAAAAGAACCTTCTGCAAGACACTTTATAATGAAACCAATAATTTAAAAATGTTCAAGCTACTCAACATGATCTACAGATTCAATGCACTCCCTCTAAAAATCTCAATGATATTTTAAAAAAATATTTTTTTCTTTATTTTCATTTTATTACATTCATTATTATTTTGTATTGGTTTCCAGGTGAACAGCATCATGGTTAGAGAATCATATATTTTACAAAGTGTTTCCCCTGATATTTCCAGTTCTCATCTGGCACCATACATAGTTATTGCAGTATTATTGACTGTATTTCCTATGCTGTACTTGACATCCCCATGACTGTTTTTTAACTACCAACCTCTGTTTCTCAATCCCAGTAACATTGTTTATTAAAGTAAAAAATAAATTCTAAAATTCATATGGAACCACAATGACCTTGAATAATTAAAGCAATCTTGAGCAGGAAAAACAAAGGGAGATAATTGCACTTCCTCACTTCAAACTATACTACAGAACTCTAGTAATAAGAAGAGCATGGTGCTCACATGAAAACAGACACACAGATCAGTGGAAAAGAAAAGAGAACCCAGGAATGAACCCATATGCAGTATACACAGTAAACTAATCTTTGACAAGGGTCAAAGACTCCACAATGGGGAAAGGACAGAATATTCAGTAAATGGTGTTGGAAAAATTGGATGTCCTTATGCAAAAAATGAAATTGGACCTTATATCTCACACAAAAATCAACTGCAAATGGATGAAAGACTTAAATGTGAGACCTGACACCATAGAACTTCTAGAAGAAAGCATAGAAAAAACTGATATTTGAATATATCAGAAGTGTCATTGATATTGATATTTGAATATGATATCAGAAGTGTCATTGGATATGTGATATGGGCAACAAAAGGAAGAAAAATCTATAAATAAACACTTACCTTCTTAAATTTATCAGACTACCCCCTACAGGCCTTAAACGAATCACTGTCAGCACTGGTTCCAGGGATACTTTCAGGAGGTCAGCATGTGGCATCTTCGCTTTTTCACATATCACTGCCTCTGAAATGCTGTCCCAGCTAATGGCTTTTTGTTTATCCAAGTTGACAACAGTTTTTCTATCTCTTCAATTGTCTGTGGTCATTGTTTCTTTCAAACTCTTAGTAACATTAGCACTCTTGATAGCCTTCTTATGTTTTAAAATTGTGCTAATGATCAATTTCATCAGCAACAATAGCATTGTCTTCTTTCTTTGTTGCCTAAGAGACGCTTTTTATATTGCTGAGGTATCAGCATGAATGGGCTGTCAGTTGAAAACTGAAGTTTGAGTTCAATAGATGAGACATTTTTTCTGTGAAATACTCAGTTGAAAATCCAATAGTTCTAGATGAGAGATGTTCGAGAACTGAGGTTTGACTATTTTTATGCAAATATAAGGCAAGTGCCAAATCACCATAAATGCAGATATTTTAGATGATGAAAATCCAGGTGTCTCCACCAAGTTTTCATATGTACAGAAAGGGTGTGTCTAGATGCAGCCAATTATTTGGAATTGAGAATTGCTGTCTTTTTTTATAGAGTGGCTTGCAGAAAATGAGTGGAGGGAAGTAGCTAAGGGAACTTGGTGATTTTTGTGAGATTCAGAAACAGTGATACCTGAGGACCCACATAACAAGTGTAACAAAGACTTGAAGAAAGTGCCCCTTGTGAATGGGAGCTTTGGAAGCATAGATAAATAGTACCTTTGGTGCAGACTGGTGTTCTCACAAGCTCTATCATCAACAGTGGCAGTAATGGGCTTTGGAAGATTCTTCTGAGAATCAGATCATGAGATTTCCTAGAGGGAGAGAGGTGCAATCACACCATTGAAATCTTAGTAATAAGAATGCATGGAACTTCATTTGCACCTGTGGGCTGTTGAAGTCATTGCTATCCTGTTTACATCAGAAACATGTTTACAGGTTCCTGCCAGCCAAATATGAGGCAATTTAAGAAAAAAAATGGTTTATTCCGAAGAAAATGTTTAGTGTATACAAACTCATATAGATATTTAAATGACTAAGTATTTTGTCTTAGGACTATAAATGATGCCACATTTACAAAAAAAATTCAATTAGGTTAAATTTAATTTAGGCTAAATTTATTGATGGGTCATCTCAAATATTGAAAAACATAATTGCCACAAATAAGGATCCAAGATGGTGGTGTAGCAGGTGTAAACTACATTCACCTCCTCCCAGGACCAAACTGGAATTACAACTAAATTATAAAACAATCAACCTAAATAACCAACTGAAGACTAGCTGAAAAGAAGTCACCAATACATCTGGTAAAGGGTTAATATCCAAATTTATAAAGAACTTATAAAACTGAGCACCAAAAAAAGAAAAAAAATACAATCCAATTAAAAAATGGGCAAAGAACCTGAATAGACACTTCTCCAAATAGGATATATAGATGGCCAATGGACATATAAAAAAAGATACTCAATATTACTAATCATCAGAGAGATGCAAATTAAAACAACAATGAGGTATCACCTCACTCCTGTCAGAATGGCCGCCATCAACAAATCATCAAACAACAAGTGCTGGCGAGGGTGTGGAGAAAAGGGGACTCTAGTACACTGCTGGTGGGAATGCAGACTGGTGCAGCCACTGTGGAAAGCAGTATGGAGTTACCTTAAGAAATTAAAAATGGAACTGCCATTTGACCCAATATCCCACTTCTGGGAATATATCCAAAGAAACCCAAAACACTAATCAGAAAGAATATATGCACTACTGTGTCATAGTCGCATTATTTACAGTAGCCAAGACCTGGAAACAGCCCGAGTGTTCATTCATAGATGAGTGGATAAAAAAGCTGTAGTACATATACAACTTGGCTATAAAAAGGAAGGAAATCTTACCCTTTTCGACAGCATGGATGGACCTGGAGAGCATTGTGCTAAGTGAAATAAGCCAGTCAGAGAAAGACAAGTACCATATGATTTCACTTATATGTGGAATCTAACAAAGAAACTCAATCAACAAACAAAATAGAGACAGACTAAGGTAGAGAGCAGGCTGACAGCTGTCATTGGGGGGTGGGGTTGTGTGATGGGGATGGAGGGATTGAGCAAAAAAGAAAAAAACTCGTGGATATGGACATCAGTGTGGTGATTGCCAGTAGGAGGAGGTTATAGACGGGATAAATGGTGATGGATGGAGACTTGACTGGAGTGGTGAACACACACTACAGTGTACAGATGATGTGCTGTAGAATTGTGCACCTGAAACCTGTATACTTTTGTTAACCAGTGTCACCCCAATAAATTCAATAAAAAGGGGAAAAATAATGGCCTCAAATAGTAAAACTATAAAGTGGTTTTATTCCTCAATTTCTGAGTATTTTTAATTTAGATATTAGAGATTTGGAATTTTCAAAACACACCGTGAAGCATTCCTTTTCCTTAGACTGTCTTCCACGCGGTTATGATAATGAATAATTACATTCTAAGCTTGTGATAAAACTTTTAAAGCTCCTAAATATTTTTATGCACTCCAATATATTTCAGTTCTTTATGCCAATGTTTCAGCAACAGTGTTTTGAAATTTATAATATTTTGATAGCCTTTCATCCATGTAAAGTTTTTTTCCATTTTAAAGACACACACATTTAAAGACGTCACACATTAGCGTTTTCTCTCTCTACAGTGAAAGGCTTTTCTTCAGAAAAAGATTTTGAAAATTACATTAAGCAAGCGAATAACTCTGAAAGAGTGATGGTTGCTTTTGTTTTTGACCATGAGTTCAAAAATAGCCATGATCCTCTGCCACTTAAGGTAAGAAAGTTTGATGTAGAAACCTTATAGTTAACTTCTAGTTTTTAGGGATTTAATGAAGTGGAAGTATTACTATTCTGTTTTGTAAGTGGGGAGACTGTAACTTACCCAAGATCATAAGCTTATGCATAGCAGACAGGATGTAAATCCAAATCTAATTCACTTCAGTGCCTGTGTTTGTATTTACCAGTGCTTTATGTTGATGGGGAAAGAATTGGATTTACTAACTACTAGGCCTTCTACTTGTAAATCTGAATCATAGGAAACATTGAACTAAGGATGTTATTTTTGCTGCTTTATATGGCATGGCTGCTGCCTCCAGCTCTGTGGGTGATGGTGAAATACTGCACACTTCCTAGGGCAAGGGACCTGAGTGACAAAGCAAGTGCAGCTTCACTAGTGTAGAACACAACCAGGAACCTTTCCTCTTTTTTTTGGATGAATCTCATCATTTCTAAATCTAAACCTAGGCAATATTGCTAAAGCTTAGCCAGGCTGAATTAGAATTAGGACCGCCCCGGCCCCCCAAAAAGAGAGGCAAGGACAGTGCTTTGAACTTAGAGTCTCTAATGTTGAGAGAAATAACCAAAGTGTGCATGGAACCAAAATTCTTTATTTAAGATACAGATGGTTGTCAGTGGAATGAAAAAGTAAGGAAAACCACTGGTTGTAAGTAGGGCTGTGGGAATCTTTTCATTCTGTCCCATCACTGAACTTCTTTAACAGATGTCAACTTTCCTCATGACTGACTGAGTGAAACCTGATACTGATTGCCTTCTACTTGTAAGGGCTTCACAGCTCACAAAGAACCTCCTCAAAATGTTGTGGTGTGGATTCCCTTGTACCTGGCTTATTACTCTTACCCTTAAGATTGCTACCGTGACTCACTGTACAGTGTCTCTTCTAGCCACACCCACCCCTTTCCTCCTTCATGCTTCCATACATGTTCAAAACATATTTCTATCACTGAATTTACTGTAGCATAAATCTACTTTTTCCTCTACTAGAATTTGAGCTCCTTGAGTAATAGGGGCTATGTCTTCCTCTTTCAACATGTAATACGTTCCTAAAACTTCTGTCTTGATAACTAAACATATGAACATTTGCCTTGATTTATGGCTTCTGCTTGTCCCTCCTGATCTTAATGATTCCTCTGGCAGGATCATTCTGACTTTCAGCAACTGCCAGACTATTGTATCATGATTGACATTGTCATTTATACAGTTATCCAGAATTAGTATTATCTTTCATTTAATAAGTAAATTATGTAAAACCCACATTTACATTTTAACACACTAATCCTCAGGTAGGATTGTTATGTTAATAATCACTTTTAGGAGAGGAAGATTTTCCTCACAGGACACTTATCTGACAATGGGAAGAGAAATTAATAACACCTTTTGGTATGTTTCATTTTAGTGTGCGTGCAGCAGTCTGTTTAGGAAAAAGTTCATCCTTAACCCACAGTAGCCTTATGACCAGATTGCTCTCACTTCTTGGGTTCAGAATCCACTTTGGTGCAGTGTATCTGTCTGTTTCACAACCACACATTCCTGATTGTATTGTATTTTAACTTTCTTTTGTTTCCCATTCCTGCTTAACTATCTTTTTGTTTATAGATATTGTTTGTTTGATATTGCTTGTTTCTAATTGCTCCTGTAGGTCAAGTATTATCTGCGTCTTAGTAGTCTTCAGAGGAATCGGCATGTGAATTATTTCCGACTTGGAAGCTGGGACACAGGCTCTCTCTTTCCAAGGTCTCCTTCCTTCGGGCCCAGGAATCCAGAACATGCAGATGGGGGAGATCCTGGTGAGCAGGCCTTTCACCACACTTACTTGAATAATCCTAGTTTTACAGTAAGAACCAACACATACTTAACATATTATATATATATTCAACTTTTGATGAAAATTATTTCTTTTTAACTTACTATTTTTTTATTTAAAATTTTTAGTGTCCAAAACTCATGAAAAATCCTATACATTGGAACAGTGTATTTTTATTCTTTCCTGTTCATTAGCATTGTATATCCCTATATTTTCATGAAGATTTACTTGTAAAATTTTGACTTTATTGACTTACAAATATATTTCCAAGTACTGACAACAGACTAAACAATTATAACTGTTTGGTATTCTGTTGGGCTTATGAACAGTTTTTAATATAGCTATGGTAATTTAAAATTTACTACAATACACATACTACCATGAAATGTTTTTAATATGGAGCTTTGTTTTTACCAATAATAATGCACATTTCTCCTGAGGAAGTTATTCAGTGAAAGAAATAAGCTATAACCAATTTAGCATAATTATTAAGTTTGAAATAACCTATATATTAAATATGGTATGTGAATAATAAAAGTATAAAATATAATTTGACAGATAATTATGCAGTCTTTAAACAATAGAACTGTATTTTGAGATTATAGCTATATAAATTGAATAATTATCAGCACAAAACTAGGATAGATATTCAAGTAGGAAAATATTTGCTATGTTAGAGTGGCAGGACTGTATTGCATATTATTTTTTAAAAAGATATTTTGAATATTATTTTTTCAGTCATAAAATTTAAAAGGGAATCATGTCTTTTTCAACTTATGTTACTTTATTATGAGCTATTATTATTAGCCTACAATACTACTTTGTAAGGGTTAGACTGTAAAAAACTTAGAAAGCTGGATAATAATAAGAGTTTTTGGTGATATGATATATAGAAACCCAAATGCATTGCTGGAAGGAGGGCTGTTTTGGGAAGCAGTCTGGCAGTAGTGTCTGCTTTAGTCTATTTGGGCTGCTATAACAAAATACCACAATTGGGGAGTTTATAAGTAACAGAATTTATTTATCAGAGTTCTGGAGGCTGGGAAGTCCAAGATCAAGGCACCGGCATGGTCATGTGGTGGTGATGACTCCCTTCCTGGTTCACAGCCTATGCCTTTTGGTCATGCCTTCACATGGTGGGAGAGGCTAGGGATCTCTCTGCAGCCTTTATTATAAGAGCACAAATTCCATTCATGAGGGCTTAAGCATCTCCAAATTACCCCACCTACTAATACCATTGCCTTTGGGGATAGGATTTTATTTTATTTTTTTATTTTTATTTATTTATTATTATTATTATTTTTTTCATCCTCACCTGAGGACATTTTTCCATTTTTTTTTGTACAGATAGAGTGGGAGGGAGAGAGAGGAAGAGAGAGAGAGAGAGAGCGAGAGAAACATTGATGTGAAAGGGACACATCGACTGGCTGCCACCCGCACGACCAACCAGGGCCAGGGACAAACTGCAACCGAGGTACATGCCCTTAGCGGGAACTGAACCCGGGTCTCTCTGGACCACAGGCCGACGCTCTAACCGCTGAGCCAAACTGGCCAGGGCGGCGATAGGATTTTAACATATAAATTTTGGGGGCATACAAGCATTCAAACCATAGCTATGGCCAAATTAAGAAATAGAGAGAAACATAGGCATAATAAATAAAAATGACAATAAATAAACGCATACCAATAATAACCTTAAATGTAAATTGATTAAATACTCTAATCAAAAGACACAGAGTAGCTAAATGGATAAGAAAGCATGACCAATTTATTTGCTGTCTACAAAAGACCAACTTAGAACAAAAGACACACAGGATGAAAGCCAAGAAATGAAAAAATTATTTTTAAGCAAATGGAAATGGAAAAAAAAAAAAAAAGCTGGGATAGCAATACTCATATCTGATAAAATGGACTTCAAGATGAAGACCATAACAAGAGACAAAGAATGCCACTACATAATACTAAAGGGCTTGATCCAACAAGAAGACATAACCTAGGTAAACATATATGCATACAATATAGGAACATCAAAATATATTAAAAACTTCTGGAGGACTTCAAGGGAGAGATTGACAGCAAAACAATCATAGTAGGGGGCTTCAACACCCCACTGATATCTTGGATAGACCCTCTGATCAAAAAATTAACAAAGAAACAGAGACCCTAAACTATGCATTAGATTATATGGGTTTAATTTATATTTACAGTGAATTACACTGCCAAACTTCAGGAAACACATGCTTTTCAAGTACACACAGTACATTCTGAAAGATAGATCACATATTAGGGCACAAACTAAGTCTCTACTAGTTCCAAAAGATAGAAATAATGTCAAGCATCTTCTCAGATCACAATGGCATGAAACTAGAAATCAGTTTCAATAAACACACACAAAAGCATGGAGGCTAAGTAGCATGTTATTAAACAATAAATGGGTTACCAAGGACATCAAGGAAGAAATAAAATCTTCCTAGAAACCAATGAATATGAACTCACAACAAAAAAATCTATGGGACACAGTGAAAGCAGTCCTAACAAGTTTACCTCAAGAAAAAATAAAAATTTCTAATAGACTATCTAACTTTACAACTTAAAGAACTAGAAAGTGATAGAAGGAAAAACCCAGAGTAAGTAGAATAAAAGAAATAATAAAGCTTGGGGCAGAAATAAAGGACACAGTGACTAAAAAAAGTACAAAAGATCAATGAAACCAAGACGTGGTTCTTTGAAAAGATAAACAAGATTGATGAACCTTTAGCCAACTCACCAAGAAACAAAGAGAGAAGACCTAAATATCAAAATCAGAAACAAAAGAGAAGTAACAGTTGACCCCACAGAAATACAAATGATTGATAGGAAATACTATGAACAATTATATGCCAAAACATTGGACAACCTAGGCAAAATGGACAAACTCCTAGAATCATCCAGTGTTCCAAAACTCAACTGATAAGAGTCAGAAAACTGTAAAAGACCAATAAAAACTAAGGAAATTGAAGCAGTTATCAATAAACTCCCAGCAAAAGAAAAGCCTGGGTCCAGATGGCATCACAGTGGAGGCTTACCGACCATTCAAAGAACTGACATCTATTCTCCTGAAACTATTCAAAAAAATTCAAGAGGAAGGAAGACTTCCAAGCTCTTTATATGAGGCCAACATAATCCTAATTCCAAAAACAGACAAGATAATTACAGGCCAATATCCCCGAAGAACATGGACATCAAAATTCTCAAAATATTAGCAAATTGGGTCCAGCTATACATTAAAAAAATTATTCACCACAACCAAGTGGGATTTATTTCAGGGATGCAAGGCTGGTACAATATTTGCAAATCAATAAATGTGATACACCACATAAACAAAATGAAAGATAAAAACCATATGCGCAATAGACACGGAAAAAGCATTTGACAAAATCCAGCACTCATTTCTGATAAAAACACTCAGCAAAGCAGACATAGAGGTCTCATATTTCAACATAATAAAGGCCATATATGACAAACCTATAGCCAACATCATACTCAATGTGCAAAAACTAGAAGCATTTCCCTTAAGAAGAGGAACAAAGGGATGCTCACTTTTGCCACTTTTATTCCACATAGTACTGGAAGTCTTAAACAGCTATTAGACAAGAAGGAAAAATAAAAGGCATCCAAATTGGAGAGAAGGAAGTAAAACTGTCCTTATTTGCAGATGACATTATATTATACACAGAAAACCCTAAAGACTCCATCAAACCACTAGTAGATTTAATAAATGAATTCAGCAAAGTAGCAGGATACAAAATTAACATCCAGAAATCGATGGCATTCTTATACGCCAGTCACAAACAAAAGGAAACTAAAGAAACAATCACATTTACCTTTGTAACAAGTAAATTAAGATACCTAAGAATAAAATTATCCAAGGATGTAAAAGACCTGCTCTCAGAAAACTACAGGACGTTGAAAAAAGAAATAGAGGAAGATATAAAAATGTGGAAGTGTATACCATGATCATGCATTGGAAGAATCAACAACATTAAAATGTCCATTCTACCAAAAGCAATCCATAGATTCAATGCAATCTCTATTAAAGTACCAACGGCATATTTCACACATCTAGAACCATACTCCAAAAGTTTATATGGAACCAAAAAGACCCTGAATAGCCACAGCAGTATTGAAATAGAAGAACAAAGTTGGAGGGATCACACCACCAGATATCAAGTTACACTACAAAGCCATTGTAATCAAAACAGCCTGGTACTGGAACAAGAACAGGCATATAGATCACTGGAACAGAATAGAGAATCCAGAAATCAACCCGATTCATTACACACAATTAATATTTGTCAAAGGAGGCAAGAGCATACAGTGGAGCAAAGTCAGCCTATTTACTAATGGTGTTGGGAAAATTGGACAGCTTCATGCAAAAAAAAAAAAAAAAAAAAGGAAACTAGATTACCAACTTACACCATACACAAGAATAAACTCAAAATTGATAAAAGACTTAAATGTAGGTTGTGAAACCATATAAATCCTAGAAGAAAATGTAGGCAGCAAAATCTTAGACATCACATATAGTACCAATACATTACCCAGGGCAAGAGAAACAAAGGAAAAAAAAACATTAATAAATAGGACTGCATCAAACTAAAAAGCTTCTGCACAGCCATCCAGGGCCCAGGATTTTGTTTGCTAAAAGATTCTTGATTACATCTTCAATTTCCTTAGTTGTTATTGGTCTGTTCAGGTTTTCTGTCTTTCCAGTTCAGTTTTGGGAGACTATCTGTTTCTAGAAATTTGTCTATTTTGCTTAGGTTGTCCAATTTGTTGGTGTATAATAGTTTCTAGTATTTGTGTTGATGACCCTTTGTATTTCTGTGGTGTCAGTTGTTACTTCTCTTTCATTTCTGTTTTTGTTAATTTGGGTCCTCTCTCTTTGTTTCCTTTTAAGTCTAGCTAAGTTTCCATCAATCTTGTTTATCTTTTCAAAGAACC